TTATTGTTATTGTTATTATTATCATCTTGATTATTATTATCATTATTCGTCGTCTTCGTCTTCTTTTCCTCTTTTTTATTACTTTTATTTTGTGCCAACTTCCTTCCCGAGAGCCAGTGTTGTTGTTGTTTTTGTTGTTGTTAATAAAAGAACGAATTGAAGAACAAGGAAACAAACACACCAATATGTTGAAGACTTTTCGTGTATTTTCTTGTGTTTTTTTCATTCGTTGTTCTATTTGCGATTTGGTTAACATGCGAGTCTTTTGCAGTTGTTGGTTTTGTTTGATGATTTTATTTTTATCTTCCTTTCTCTCTCTCTCTCTCTCTCTCTCTCTCTCTCTCTCTCTCTCTCTCTCTCTCTCTCTCTCTCTCTCTCTCTCTCTCTCTCTCTCTCTCTCTCTCTCTCTCTCTCTCTTTTCGTATTTGTAGTATCATGGCGCGCACTTTCTCTTCTTCTATCTTCATTCTCCTCTCTTTCTTCCTCTCTCCTCTCCCTCTCCCTCCCTCCCTCCTCTCCTCCCGCCTCTCCTCTCCTCTCCTCCCTCCTCTCCCTCCCTCCTCTCTCCTCTCCTCCCTCCCTCCCTCCCTCCCTCCCTCCCTCCCTCCCTCCCTCCCTCCCTCCCTCCCTTCCTTCCTCTCCCCAACTTCCCTCCCTCCCTCCTCTCCTTCACCCTCTCCTCCCCACTCCTCCCTCTCCCTCCCCTCCCTTCCCTGTCGTAGCGAGAGAGCGAAGAGAGCGGGGGGGGGGGGTGAGGCTGCCCGTCTTTCCAGGTGAACTCTCTTCATTAGCGATTTCGGGAAAGGCGTTTGTTCGATTGGGATTCGGTGGGGGGGAGGGAGGGAAGGAGGAAGGGAGGGAGGGAGGGAAGGAGGGAGGGAGGGAGGAGGGAGGGAGGGAAGGAGGGAGGGAGGGAAGGAGGGGAAGGAGGAAGGGAGGGAGGGAAGGAGGGAAGGAAGGAGGGTGGGAGGGAGGGAGAGAGGGAGAGAGGAAGAGAGGAAAAGAGGGAGAGAGGGAGAGGGAGAGAGAGAGAGAGAAACAGAGAGAGAGGAGAGGAGAGAGAGAGAGAGAGAGAGAGAGAGAGAGAGAGAGAGAGAGAGAGAGAGAGAGAGAGAGAGAGAGAGAGAGAGAGAGAGGGAGGGGAGAGAGATAGAGAGATAGAGAGGGAGAGGGAGAGAGGGGGGGGCAGAGAGAGAGAGCTATGTATGTATGGATTGGCAGACGGCGGGAGATGGACTGGAAAGGAGAGCACAGAGAGAGAGAGAGAAAGATGGACTGAAGGAGAGATAGATAGACAGGCATGCAGGCAGACAGGTAGATAAGCAAGCAAGCAGGCCTGAAAATAGACAGACAGACAGGTAGATAGACAGGCAGGCAGACAGACAGACAGATAGGTAGATAGACAGGCAGACAGACAGGCAGGCAGGCAGGCAAAAAGGCAGGCAGGTAAAAAAGAAGACGGACAGATAAACAGATAGACAGTCGGACAAACAGACAAACAGACAGACGGACAGACAAGGAGATAGACAAGCAAGCAGGTAGGCTGACAGGCAGGGCGATAGGTAGACAGACAGACAGTTAAACACGCAGACAACCAGACAGACAGAGGAAGCGCCAACTGCAAGCACACCCGCCTCTCCCAACACGACAGGTGAGACTCGGCAATTAGAGCGCCGTCAGGCATTTAAATGGAACAGGAAACAGATAATCAATAGAAAAAAAACAAAAACAAAAAAAAAAAAAAAAAAAAAAAAAAAAACAGGTAATCCTATAAAAACCATTAGCTAATCAGGACAATAACAAACCAGGACTCAATCTTAATCAAACGTACAAACAAGCAGTAAGGCACGGGGGGGGGGAGGGTGGGGGGGGTAAAAAAAAAGGCATTTAAAAGGCTACTCAAAAATGGAGGTCTTCAGGTCACTCGCTCGCAGTACTGTGGATGGACGCCAGACAAACAGGGAGAGAGTGAGGGCATCTTTAAATATAAGCGAGTACTCTCTTTCTCTCTTTCTCTCTCTTTCTTTCTCTCTCTCTCTTTCTCGCTCTTTCTTTCTCTCTCTCTCTTTCTCGCTCTTTTTCTCTTTTGCTTTCTCTTCTCTCTCTCTTCTCTCTCTCTTCTCGCTCTTCTCTCTTCTCTCTCTCTTCTCTCTCTCTCTCTCTCTCTCTCTCTCTCTCTCTCTCTCTCTCTCTCTCTCTCTCTCTCTCTCTCTCTCTCTCTCTCTCTCTCTCTCTCTCTCTCTCTCTCTTTCTCGCTCTTTCTTTCTCTTTCACTCTCTCATTCTGTTGTTTACTTTTTGTTTTCTTCTTCTTTTCTACCTCTTCTTTTCCTCCTTCTTATTTTCCTCCTCCTCTCCCTCCCTCCCTCCTCCTTCTCCTCCCCCTCCCCCTCCTCCTCCTCTCCCTCCTCCTCCTCTTCCTCCCTCCTCCTCCTTCTCCTCCCCCTCCCCTCCTCCTCCTCCCCTCCTCCTCCTCCCCCTCCTCCTCCTCCCCCTCCTCC